AACGTTTCCTTAAAATAATGCAGGGAACCACACGTTATACATTATACGAGTACGCGCATACTATTTTGGTGATGTAATTTGAGTCACACGCACTGTACGTGGACCATCGCGTACGAGTAAAAACCGAAGTATACTTTGGCCTTAAAGCAAGCTAAACATACGCAGCGCGCACACGTTTGTATTGGTGCAGAATGAGAGAGACACTTATAGCCTAGCGCATTTCACACAGCCTGCTAGTTTCACTTTTGCTTTAAGTAAAGTCATGTATGCTTGACGTTTAAAATAAATGTTATATATAGTGAATGCCCCGATAATTTTTGTTTATTTTATATTTACGGTTTAGTTTTAATCCAAATGCATGCGCTAATGGAGCGAACCACAATCAAGATCATGCAAAAGAAATGCACGCTCTCGGACTCTCTCTATCACTCTCTCTCCTTACCGTCAAATAACTTTAGTAGTTTGTGCATTGTTTTACTTACTTGCTTTTGAAATATCCGAGCGAGCTACAAACTTTCCTGTGATGCCTGTGAGATATTCACTCGAGAAGCTTGCGCATCTGTGCCAGTATCGGTATCGGTGCATCCCTAATTATAATATATAATATTATAAATAAAAATATTTGATTTTGAGGAAATTTTTTTGTTCACTTTGGGTCAGTAAACTGTTTTGGTACTGTACTGTTTTCGGTTGGCAATGCAGTCTATTCAGAACAGTCACCTAGTGTTTTAGATGATTTGATGCTGTCTTGAGGCCTGTGAATATTTTGCACGATCAAACCCTTTCAGATTTGAGGAGATGTGCATAGAGAGAAAGCTTCTTTTATACAGAATGAGAAGAGAGAAAGAGCAGATATCTTTGGTGTTTTTTTCCATCACATTCTACTGAGGAATTATTTCTGTATCTGGATCTAGATGCTTTGCAAGGGACTTTCAAGGCAAACCTTGTAAATGTATGTGTTCCCTGCAACTGGAACAATGATCTTGGCGTTGTTAGTGGCCTGCTCTACCAGTTTAAGCTACGGTAAATGAAAAAATGTGCACTTTTGATGCAAAAATCTACAAACCAACCAAATTATAAGAGACAGCTCCGATTTAATGTTCTTATTTTTGATGTTCCTCCTTTGATGCCTGTTTTTGCACTTCACAGTGTTGTCAGTGATGTGATTTGTTGCACAACATTTGGCAAACCACTTTATTTTTGTTGTAGACGTTGTAGATGTTTTATTATTGCATGTAGTGCGTTTGTTTGAGTGTCAACTCTCACGACCGGATGTCTCATCCACCAGAGCTGCTGGCATCTGCCACGCGTGGCACAGGAGAGAGTGTGTGTTGCCATGGCAATGATGGAAAAATTGAATTTGTGCCTGCCGCACCCTCAACTAGGCCGTTTCCAGGTGATTGGTATCCGCTCCACTCCACTCAAGCAGGAAAGAGGCTTTAAAAGCAGTTCCTTCATGAGTGAATCACTTGAATGCATCATTGTGACTCAAAATCACTAACATGTCATGAAAGATGTTGCCAAATTTCCCAGTGCAAGTCAGAGCCAAGCTTGCTTTTACAGTTGCTTTAGTTTTACAGGACTTTATGAGGCAATTTCCGACTGCGACAGTTGTGGGATTGAGAGGAGAGACTTCTGTGAGGTAGATTATAACAAATACATGATTTCATGAATGCCGTTGTGTGGCCAATTTCTGAGCCAAGATGTTGGCTGGGCTTCAGACATATACATGCAGCCTTACAGGTCGAAGAACAGGTGTTTCAGTGGCCATCTGGATGATTATGATAGCAAACACATAGCTGTTTCCTGAGCAGCTGTTCTTGGGCTGCAGCAGCGCTGTGCTCTGTGAGGGGATGATCGTTTGTAGTTCTGTTGAGGTCTGTCACTGCTTTGTTGAAGGAGAGGAACATTGTGAATTATTTTGTTTGCTGGCAGAAGCTAGAGTATAAGGTAGAGACTGGCTGTTTTAAACATTTGTTGGAGAAAATCAGCTGAGAAATGTATACATTTAAATGTGCCATGTTATATATTTCTATAGCATTTTTTTTCACTTATTAAGTCCACTTATAGTGGATTTCAGGTTCTGTTCAGCAAAGAATCCTGAAAAACTGTGATGGTTGTATGACAAATATTGAGCAGTACAACTGTTTTCAGCATTGATAATCATAAGAAAAAAATCAACTTTGTCATCACAGGAATAAATTACATTTGAACATTAAAACAGAAAACCGTTATTTTAAATCATCATAATAGTTCACAATATTACTGTATTTTTTGGATCAAATAAATCCAGCCTGGGTGAGAATTAGAGAAAATCTTACCAACCCCCAAATTTTGAATGGTAATGATCTTTATGATTGAATGAATTTTTGGCATATGAAAACTAACATCAAGGCAGGCCAAGATGCTGAATATTAATTGATTATATAAATACAGATGGACATTTTAGTATTTTTTTGCACCTATTACTAGGCATGTCACTTCTGGAAGATTAAAAAAAAAAAGTCATCCTCTCTTAGCTTAATATGCAGACAAAACTGTGGCTCTGTCGCACTATCAAAAGTAACTCCATTTATTTAACAAGCCCGACAGACTAATTTTGGTTCAACCAATGATGTGATTTTTGGCGGGGCCATCTGTTTTAATGACCAATGACAACAAGAATATAGTTCTTTAGGAACAAGGTTCTGATTTTTCAACATCCTATGTTTCCATGTGT